ACCAGTACTTATGTCATACTACGCCGTGCAGTGGGCGCACTAACCGCATGCCACGCCTTAAACAAAAATACAAAAAAAAAAAAAAAAACAATTTACGCGCGCGCGTCTTTGTGTAAGCCTTAGACTTAAGCAATGTGAGAAAGCGAAAGAGAGAGTGAAAGAGAGAGAGAGAGAAAGAGAGAAAGGGAGAGACATCGATAGATCGAGAGAAAGGAATTGCATGCCTCCCATTATATAATAAATAAATGCAAATTTGTTTTCGGTACTTTGCACAGTGGACAGCCTGAAGGAAGCCAACCGGAAGCTGGAGCAGAGCCTCAGCAGCAGCGAGTCCAGCCAAACGGACAAGATCGACAAGAGTCTCATCAAGAGCCTGCTAATTGGCTATGTGGTCAGCGGGAATGCGGGCGATAAGCAGCAGGTGCTGCGCATGATATCATCTCTGCTGGACTTCAATGCCCAGGAATCTGATAAGGTTGGCCTCAACAAGCCCCAAAGCAGCTGGCTGGGCAACATACTTGGCGGTGGCGGTGGCGGTGGCGGTGGAGGCACCTCTAGTGCCAGCTCAGGTAAATTGGGAATTCCTTATTGAAGCAACAGCTCCACTAACTCAGTTCCTTGTTGCAGGCAATGACAACTTGGTGCAGGCCTTTGTCAAGTTTCTGGAACAGGAATCCCAGCCGCAGTCAACGGCGCAGGCACGACCCAATCTGCTCAGCATGGCGAAGCAAACGGATGCAACTGAAGCACCTGCCAGCGGTAGCGGCGGCGGCGGTGGAGGAGGAGCAGGAGGAGGTGGAGCAGGAGATGTTGCTGCTGCTGCAGCAATAGCGTCGGCAGCTCAGTCCACTTCAACTTCAACTTCAACTGCAGCAACTGCAGCTACGACGGCAAGCACTGGACATGCCACGCCCCCCATCTCGGTATTGCCCCCGATGCAGTCGCTGCTCATGAGCAGCAACGAATTTGCGCCCACGCGCAGCTCCAGCTCAATATTGAAGGATATCCTCAGCGACACCTGATTGTTGTAGAACAGCTTGGAGCTGCGTGTTCCGCGTGTGATTGACTTTATAATTATGTGTCTTTGATTACCTTTTTTTTTTTATTTTTTTTTTGTCTAAACTCTAATTCATATAAAATTGAATAGTTGTATATTAAAGCGTGCAATTCAAATACCGTTTGTCAGCGACGGTTGAGTCCCGGCCAGAGTGTACTACTCGTATATATCGCTACAAATGCATACCTATATTTGTAATCCCCTTTTGTAACACCCCACACACGCACCTGTAAATATGTAATATGTTAAAAAAAAAGTATATCTATATAAAGAATGCCAATCTATTGGGCAGTCAGCGAGCTGCCCTTGTCGCCTGTCATTGAAGCGCCTTGAAAGCAGCTCGCTGGAACAGCAGCAAGTAAAACTTACAAACATAGAAAACTGGAAATTAATATATGACTATAAATAAATTATACAATGTCGCGTTTCAATTGGGTTGGCAGAATCTATAATGATGATGAGACGAGGTCAAGAGAAGACGGCAGACGGGGGAGGGAAGACCAAATGAGAGCAAGTCAGAAATAACGATCAGCAGGAGAGCAGCGCAGGAGAAGAGTGCGAAAGGACAGACGTGGTCAGAGGAGTACAGGATGAGAAAAAGTCAAGGAAGGAAAAAACCACGAAAGGAGCCCAGGAGGAATCTAAGTAATGTTGAGCGCTGAATAGGAGAATATTCCATATGAGGAATATTCCGTATGCATAGTTGCACTCAGACCAATCCCGCTCATACTATACGGTAAATGATTCCAGACTTGGGTAAATTTATCTTATAATAATTATTTTATAT